TATATGACAATATTTAAATATAATATATCCTAGACTGACAAATAATCTCCGTTCAGAATCGTTGTTCGTATACAATGATACCTATCATTGCATTCAAATCTAACCTACCCTAGTCAGAGGTCCACCCCACCACCTAATATACATCCACTTACCCACTTTTTTGTAATTTGTTACTTTTAAGAGCAACCAATACAATATTTATCATTTCAATACACTTTGTTTAATCTAAATCTGTATTTTGTAGCTATATAACGTGATATTGGCAAAGTTATTGACATTATTTCGACCGCTACTTCCAAAGACAAAATAAATTCAAAATTTAATACTAATTGAAGAAGTCCATTGCATTTTGAAAGTATAGTTCCATCTGTAGTACCTATTATATTTTCCAAAAATATTACAATAGGAAAAAGCATATCCGAAAATCACGTCACGTTTCGCATAGTTTTATTAAAAGAACAGATTTTGATGTCGGTAAATGTTCAGTGATTAATTTTATAAACAAATCAACTCTTTTCGGGGAATCACAAATAAAACTACATATTTCTTTAACGGTCGAAAATAATTTTTTATGGGTAGTACATTGTAAGCTTTTACAATAATGTTAAATTTAACCGATTAGATACACAATGTGACGCTTTTGGTTGTAAATTAAGAATTTTACACTGTCCTTCACCTCCTTTATAAATTTGTCTGTTATGATTGAACCACATATATTTATCAATTCATTTTGAACAGTTTTACTGACAAATGTCACGTTTTTATACGCCGATTCAAAATGTTTACGAAGATTTTCTTCACCATCGTCTATTCTAAATAATAACAATTGTTTAAATATTCCAATATTTTGATTCTTAATTGCTTGAATTTCATGAACATTTGCTGTATCGTCAATAGTAATCAATTTTTTAAAATAAAAATTAATAGTTTTAAGTATGGGAATTATTTTTTTTTCTTCGACTGTTTTAATTAATTGGTCATCAAGTTGAACTTCAATGGTTTGTTGTTTACCTTAGATACATCTAATAAATTCAAATGATCGTAATGTTGCAGTTTTATGATATTCTCTTTCAGAATGTTTTTTTTAAAATCATATAAAGCATCTTTGTACTTAATTAAAGGAGTTTCTTTCAAAATTCCAAGCCTTTGTCTCCCAATATCGCCCACCTTTGGCCCAAAAAGTACACAAACATTGCAAAAAGCTCCTTTACTTAAATTACTATAAACTACCACCAATTGTATTTATTTATCCATTCAATACGAAAACTTCTACTATGACCATTTTTATCTTTTGTTACTGAAAAAATATAATTT